TACCCATGGAATTCCATCTACATTACCTGTATCCAAACACTGAGAGTTATGGAAGAGAGTTTAGAGAGCAAGTTCTGAAAGAGGAAAATGAAAACATCTAAAAGTTAAGTATAAATTGGCATCTGTTAGTGCAACTAGTGATAGCAAATACTTCTTAACTTTTAGATGTTTTCATTTTCCTCTTTCAGAACTTGCTCTCTAAACTCTCTTCCATAACTCTCAGTGTTTGGATACAGGTAATGTAGATGGAATTCCATGGGTAGTTATTTTGCATGTTTGCATAAAGGCATTACAATCTTGGGAGATCCCTCCTCCCCCCAATGTTTTCAATTTTGCCTCTTCCACAATTGCTACAGATTGAATTGCTAGGTTACTTGACTATCCACCAGCAACCTGAATTACAATCTGGTCAGTTATGATTAGTATAACAAATGTCAAGATACTACTATATATCTTCTATCTCAGCATTAGCAATTTGCCACATAAATAAAATCAGCATATTGCAAGAGTCAGCTATGGTTTAATTAGAATGTCTCTTACTGTTTTATCTTCCATCTCTAAACTGTATTTATTCATTTATTTGTTAAGCTTTTTATTTTTCATCACTTTCCCTCTCTTTATGGGAGATAAAGAACTGAATTCAATATTTCTCAGGTGAGTTATACTTTGCTCTAGCATACAAGGTAGTCCTCGACTTATGATCAGAACTTCCATTATTAAGCTAAACAGTCACTAAGTGAGTCATCCCTGTTTTTATTATCTGTTTTGCTGTGGTTATTAAATGAATCTGGCTTCCCCCATTGACTTAACTTGTTGGAAGCTCATAGGAATGTCACAAATGGTGAACATGTACCTCTGGTTGTTGTAAATACATGTTTGTATTTGTAAATACGTGTCGCTTGCCAAGTGCCCCAATGTTGGTAACCTGAGCACAGGGATGCTGCAATGGTCACAAGTGGGGGGACTGATTCTAAGACATTTTTTTCTCTGCTGTTATAAACTTTGAACAGTCATTAATTAAATGAATGGTTGTAAACTGAGAACTACCTCTAAAATAGAAAGATTACAGAATTTTTACCAAATTGTCTAAATGTTACTTTCACAGGATCTTGAAAGGGGAGATATATATGCCCACACAAACAATTTAAGCAACAGAACAAAATATAAAGACACTTTCCCTATGTGAACTAAAAGTAAAGGTTAATCCCTCATCACTTTTTTTTTGTATATGAACAAAAACACATTTGGCTTTTAGTCATTGGACTATGAACCTGGGTGTGTCATATTCAAACATCAAAACAGAAGAAAGCTATTACATCTGTACACATTTACTGACTTTAATCTCTAACATGCCTTTTACTGTGGGCTACTTTTAAAAAGCTGTTATACTGAACCACATTTATCTGGCTTTAATCTTACAATATTTATTTACTATCCGCTACTTCAATACATCCCTCTGTTGTAAGCAGAAATGTCAATAACTGATGGAGGCCAGGCAGAACCTAGACCTGCAATCCAATGCAAAGATTGCTTTTGTTATGAAGACCGAGGAGGTTGTGAAATTGCTGCTATCATTGAGGCCTCCTAGGAGAACAGACCGTACTTAGTAGAACGTAACATGATGCATCATACCAAGAATGCTATAGTGTTTCCGGGTTGTAATTCTGAGATAAGAGAATGGAGTTGCACAACACATTGCTTATTAGCAGGAAGTAATCCAGGCATATAAACCAAATAAAGCAGACATACAAAGAATGACACTGTTAGTCCTAAAATTGCCTATAAAATGTGTGAAAGGAAAATCCAATTTTGACATAAGGATGTTGATGAATATTTACTACCAACTTGTTTTCATCTCCTAACAACTACATACATAGATTTAAGACCAGCCATAGTTAATTGATTATAATTGGCCAGTTCATACAAATACTAAGAACACATTAAATAATGTTTTTGTTTTTATTAAACTTTAATTTTAATAAATTTGTCTCCAAAATTTTTTATCTTCTTCAAAAACAAAGGCAGTTGAGGATATTTTGAGATTACATTTAAGTTGTTTTGTTTGAGAAATAAAGCTATGTATATATTTTCAAGAACAACAATAAAAACGAGGGAGAAACAAGGTATGGATTGGTTCCTCGCTATTATCTATCATACTGCTGATGAAATACCAAAATACCTGCCTCCCCTTTGTTGCCATTAGTGTGAACACATTGTGTTAATTTATTATTTAGCCTGCATAAGTGTTTAAACTGTAGTATGCAAATTTTCAGAACATGAAAAAAAACCTTCCTTAGGCTGAATGTCTAAAGACAAAAAAGGTATATTTCTAAGATAAGGTCTGTTTATATTAAGGGGGTGGGGTGGTGGCTTGATCAACTTAAATAAACATGATTTGCTGGGGCAAAGCAAAAAACATGTTAATTTAGACATTTTACAAATAAAGGCTTATGGATAGGTACAATTTAAATTTCAGTAAAGAAAAGTATGTATTTTTTGTACACACACATATATACTGGATATATGTATATTCAGCCACAATATATTATAAAAATATAGTGATGCAAATAAAAATCAGAAAAAGTATAATGAATAAATGAGTGACATTTGGAATTTAATAGAAATTAAAACTGTATCCATAAAATGTTGCTAGAGAACTAGCTCAACCCTTCAACATATTATTAAAGCTATTCTCCAGCTTCAGAGTTTTAGTACAGTGTTATTTCAATATATTTATATAATATGCTTAGATTCTTAATATTCTATTATGTGGGTGCATTAAATATAAATAGAGGAAAAAACCAGGCATTATATAAATATAACAGTTTAAAATGCTAATATTAGAAACACTAGTTATTTCACTTTTCTTCAAAATTAAATATGAATATTTAATGAAAAGAGCATATATCAAAATATTATTTTATTATCTCCAACATGTTTTTTCATGGTGAGTGTGTCTGTGGGTTTGAATATGGATGCCTTTGTCTATGTGTTGACTGAACACATAGCTTATTGAAATAAACGAACATTTTTTTAGCAATTTTAAAATGCTAAAAAATAATATTTAAAAAGGGTAAAAAAGCAATTGAGTTTCTGACTTCCACATTGTATACATCTGCAATATGTATAAAGATCATACTAGAATCTTGATAAATCTAATATCAATCTAACATTGACAAAGTATTTTTGCAACATCACAATATCCAGTATTGGAGTAATGTAATTTTAGACCTTATATAAAAGCTGATTTACAATTTCCTGTACTGCCCGTGGTAGCTGTTGCATACCTACACCACAAAGGGGTTGATGGATAAGCATAGGTTGGGAATAGCTACAGATGGAACCATGCAAAGACCTCCCAAATTTCAACTGCACAGTTCCGTTGTATTTTGTTATTGAGATGTATTTAGTGTTTCGGGGGAGCTGCACCAAGGGAGGTTCATTCTATTTCATTGTACACATGTTGTGCATTGACAGTAAAGGTTTGGTTTTATTTGATTTGTGTGAAGGTGCAAGTCCTGCGTGCTGATTGGTTGATCCAACTTCCTTTTCTGTGCTTTGCTGTGCCCCCTAGCCAGAACATTAAAATTTGCAGCCTTATCACTGCAACAGCTATACAGTCTATGAGGGACAGATGCATACTGTATGTTTTCCCTGTTAAAAGCCAGACAAATCTCCACTCTGAATTGTAAGGCCATGGACTTTAGCCATAAGGTCTAGCTTTAACTACATTACTGAGAATATCGTTACAGCTTAATGTTTATCATCTCATTACAAAACTGGTGAGATTTTTTTTTTTTTTGAGCGGTGGCTAGGGGGGGCAGGCTTGCTAAAAGGGAAAACAGATAGGCCTTGTAATTCAGTATTATCTTTATTTCAACTGATAAGAACTCCTTTGAATTTCTACAATGCATACAGTTTTCAACTTTCTTGTAAAATCAATCATCCTGAGTGGGCATTTCATTATAAACATGTTTTTACTAAGCTGATATCTAAGCATAAAAGTACTGTTTGTTTTTAGTAAAAGTATTCAAAATGGGAGGCTCAAGAATACAGGATTTTTTTAAAGGAAAATATTTGGAAAGCTATGTTATGGCCTAGGACAAGAGAGTTGTTATATAGCCATGTTTCCTTTATGAATCTATTTGTCAATAGATTAAATATGATGTATTGATTGCATACTCTACAAAATTCCAGTTGAACTCTTTCTTAATATATAAAAACATATACATGTTGATATTTATTTTGGAGGATCAAAATAAACTTAAAATTTTTTAAACATTTTACTTATTCTTAATATAATAACACCAAACAGTGCTAAATTTTAAATTCAATTTGGCTGTATCCAAAATTACATGAACATACAACAGAAAGTTATAATTTGATACAATCAAGAGAAAACAATTATTGTAAAATATTGTTTAATAAAAAGGATGACATTAGTATACTATCTAAATCAATTTTTGACCTGCAAACTAATTATAAAAGATTAAATTAAGGTAATATCATAGCCTGTTTTCAGTTTTAGATTATTAAAAATCTTGCTTCTTTTTTAATGATAAAGTTGACTAGCATCATAGGGTACATAAAGATAAGTTCTTACTGTCTATAATAACATTTCCAATTTTAAGTAGCAATACTCATGTAAAAAATTCTGGTCTTTTAATATTCACTTTTCAGTTTCAAGACCTTTGCAGAATAGTTTATTGCTATAAAGTTTAAATGTTGAAACAAATATGTGAACAACAGCACATCAGGGAATACAAAAATGAAAATGGCAAACATTCCCCCTGACTTTGAATCTTTTGGAAAATTCAGTTTTTAAAGGTTTTCCAAAAGTCTGCAGGCTTGGGGCCAATGGATTGGGGTTAGGGGGTGTTGCTGTTATTTTTCAGAACAGAAACAGTAACACTCTTGGCACTGCTTGTTCATGTGAAACACTGTCCATTATTTTGCCCAATCATATAAACTAGTCAGAAACAATATAAAGTAGAATGTGTTCAATAAAAAGCATTTCAGTTGAATACAAGGTAAATAGCAAAGATATATAAAGCTATGGCATTCATTGGGTTGTCACAGATGCTGACAGTAATTTGCTGATTTAATTTTTTTTGTTACTAATAATCAGAATACAGTCACAATTTCAAGTCCGGTCCTTATGTTTTACCAAAATATTTCACAATGTTTCCTCATCTATTTGGTGTCAGTCACTGTGTTCCAGGGAAACCATGAGACATCTGACTTACAACGCATTAGCAATTACACTGGTTTCATCATTATATAGATCATAAGCAGAGCTAAAAAGCCAATAACAAGGAAGAATCTTAATGTACTTTATTGCCCCTACACCCTTTGGCTGAATTATGAAATAAATGAAAATAAAATGTTTAAGAATAAATCTAACCCACCTTGGATAGAGATATGGTGCCTTGATATGATTAAGTATGCATTACATATAAAGTGATATCTTTGCTTGGCTTTGCTTGTTCGTATTCCATTTATCTGTAATATAATATCACTGTTAATGAGAGAAGAGAAAGAAATTTGTGGTTGCTTAAACCCACATCATTTATGCCTCCCCCTTACATTATTGACTGCCTGGAATAATTGCTGAAATATCCTAGGCCCCAGATTTGGCTGTCCAATATCAGAATGTGTGTTAATTGGAGATGCTGCTGTTTGTTGGCATAGCTGTTGCCTATTGTGTGGCCTTAATTAGGTCAGATTCTTCAGAAGTGGTATCTATGCAAATTCTTTCCCACAATTCTTTTTATTAAAAGAGCTTTAGAATGGCAAACATCAGTGAACAGCAAAAGAAAGGGAGAATTAGTCCATAAACTTACGTAAAAATCTGTCTAAATTAATTTAAATGAGTCAATCAAAAATTTGAAATAATTGAAACACACTTTTATTATAAAAGGAGAACTATGACCTGCTGAAATGCACATGTCTATTCAATCTGGTGTTCAAGTGCTAATTTTATGGCACTGTTGTTTAGATCCTTATTTTACATTGTTTGGGCCAAATAGTCTTCCCAACAAAGGGTATGTTCAGACAAGAAGGCCATTCTATAACATATCCTGAAATTTAAGGTTTAACTTATAAAGGCGAGTCAAACTTATGATTTTTGTTAGTTTGATCTCCTGACTAGTATTTTGGACTGTTTTCATTGTTAATAATTTACAGTCACCAAAATGTTCTCCGGAGTTGTTGAGGAGATGATGATGTTTTGGCAATGATTTTATTAATAAATTACAGAGCTCTTCAATTGGGATGGTGTATAGCTTGTACCATGATCTGCACTGCAATCTTAAAACCTTGTTTCCACTAAAGAAAAAGCTTGTGGAAAGAGACCCCATAAAGGATTTGGGATTATTTTGGAATAACAGTATCATTCTGAGTCAGTAACTCTTAAAACCTATTTTCTTGTCAAGGTTCCTTCCCATTTTTAAAAATTACAGATGCCCCAAAATTACAGATGCCCATATTTATTTATATGGGTTATATTTTAATATTTACTTTATTTAAAATTAAAACCCACACATTCACTACTACTGGTCAAGATTATTTGAAGGGATTTTAATATGGTTTATTATTTTTCAAAATAGGCTTGGTGAATTTTGATTTTGGGGACCCCTGAGGTGATTTTGGAGGACTCCCTGGGATTGCAGGACCACTCTTTAAGAAACACTGTTGTGAGTACTCCTCAACCTACAACAGTTCATTTAGTGATGGTTCAAAGTTACAAGAGCACTGAAAAAATGAATTTTTTCCCCCATTTATGCACACTTTTACGACCTCTGCAGCATCCCCATGATCAACCTCACCTTTTGCCACCTTTGGACAAGCAAAGTCAATGGGGAGGCCAGATTCACTTAACAATCCCGATCACCAACTGCAGTGATGCATTCAACAAGTGTGGCAAGAAACGGGGCACAACTCGCTTAACACCAGAAACGTTGGGGGCTCCATTGTGGCCGTAACTCGAGGACTACCTGTAATACTTGAGCGGGAAGGGAATCTCCGTTTAGCCTCCAGGCTGTTTAACTTACTCGGAAGTTACCGAATTCAGTCCCTCCTCTCCCGTAAACACCCTTAAAGATTGAACCCTGAACGCCGAAAAGCGCAATACCGCCAGGCGGCCGACAAGAAAGGCTTTCGCCTCGAGCCCCGGGTCGAGCCCCGAGGTCACGCCGGCCCTCAACGGAAGGCCTCTCCGCGCTGCCGCTTAGCGCCTCCTAGCGAAACCCTTTGCGGCGGCGGGGCACCTCGCTTTTTTCCCCGCCGCCACCGCCTCCTGGGCGGACCCTGGATCCGCCCCCAGTTACCCGCTGAAAGGAACATGGTGGCTGCTTCCTCCCTCCTAAGCAGAAGCAGCGGCGGCTCGGGCTCTCTTTGAGGGGCCGGGAAGTTGCGAGCACGGCGTCGGCGAGCCAGGCAGGCCGTTGGGAGCCTCTGAACTGAGAAAGCCGAAGGAAGTCCAGTATTTGTCTGACGACGCCGCCGCCGCCACAGGTGCGTCAGGAGAAGGAGGTTGGTGAAGCTGACAGGAGGTGCCTTCGGCTTCCCGGGTGGCTGCCTTCGCTCCCCCGTCTCCCTTTGCTTTTTCCTTTCTTCCCCTCGGCCTCAAATTTGGGGACACCGGCTTCTGCAAGGGCGGGAAATGCCCGCTTGTGCAGGCGGGACGGTGCTCTTGCTCGAGCAAGTACGCACTTGGCCGCCTGTTTCTTCCTTCGCTTCCCCCCCTCCCCCGTCTCGCCTCGCCTTGTCCTCCCTCCGCCTTGAGCGCTGGGATGCAAGATCACGTTGAGAGCGCGAAGGGAGGTGGGTACTGTCCTGCCGGGCTGCCCTCAAGGTGTCGGACAGGGCCGCTGGGAGGAGAAGAGGAGGATTATTATTATTTTATTTGTATTTATTTGTTTTTGCAACCGGGGCGGTTTTGGACTCGGAGAGCAGCCCTTGGAAAGCGAGGGGCATCCGGTGTCAGCTCTTCCGTGCCGAATGTGGAGGAAAGAGATTCGTCCCCTTCTTTCCTCCCGCGAATGGCATTTGCCTCCCCACGTGTCCTTTTACCTACGCAGAATTGTCTGGAGTTCACCTGCGGGTTAGGGTTAAGAAAGGAGCCCAGAGAAAGGCCCGCGATATTGTTTTCCTCACCTCCTTCCTTGATCATTGTTTTGATGCAACCGTGAAGGGACCTGAGGACAGGCAAACTTGGGTTGAAACGAGATTGAACATTGTGGTTTCACATGTTGTGGAAATCCAGCAGTTATTCTTGCATGTTGTGTGAACCAGGCTGGGGAGAATCAAATGGCAGAAGGGCAGAGAGGCTGGGATTCCCTGGCTGCCTCTGAATCAATCCAGCTATAATGGGATTTATTTTGTGGTCATAGTGTCTTGGGTGATGCTGTGAGTGAAAAAATGAGTTGTCATGTGAATTCTGCCCCATTGTCCTGTAGAGAAAATCCTCCATTTGTGTATACACTATATGTGCTGCGTTTGTGATGTAAGGTTTTGTGCCTGTTTATGTGGAAGTGGGTGCTGTTTAACTTAGTTAAGACTTGGTTCTGGGTAGGTGTGTGTAAAATTGGATTGTTATGAAGCTAAGCTTATGTGCTAAGTGGTTATGGCGACAGGATAGCCTCTTGATTCTGTGTAATCTATTCATTACTTTTTCATAGCTTTGGGGCAGTTGATAGCCCAACTACCATATACTGGGCTTTCACATGGTCAACAAACTTTCCAAAAACAGTTGAGTATAGGTTTTTTTAAATTAGAAAATCATTTATAGCTTAATCTGAAATGTTCATATAATCCCAGTTTAAAGCTCACTATACGTAAGTTTTTTATTTTCTCCTTAATGCTATTTCCTCAGAATGGTTTCCTTAATGCCCAGGAGATGAAGAATTAGTTAATCCCCTAAATGCTAGCATTAAAGATACCAATACCTGGAATTGACTTAAAATTGTTGTCTCTTTTTTTATCTTATCTGCAGTTTTGACTTCCTCTTTTTGAATCTTAAGTGATTCATTTGAATTCCACAGTAATAGGATTTTGTGGAAGAAATCTTAAGTACTGTTTTCTAAGAAACAGAAAATAATGTATCTGTTGGGTCACCTAATGAACATATTAATAGTTTAACAAATATAATTGAAGTTGCATAAATAGTCCTCAGAAATATTTTAAATTTATCCTTGATGGGTAGAATATCCATTAAGATATGAGACAGTATTAAGATCTGATTCAAGTGTCATGCTAATCTACTGTAGACATATATACTGCACTTAAGTAGGTTAATACAATTTGCTAAACAATACTAACAAATTGTATTTTGACTTAGAATGAGACATGAACTGAGTTATAGTTTGCTTACTGAATCCTTTGACCCAAGCTGATTATATTGGGTCTATTTATTTTCAGTATATCTTTAATTATGGGGTGTTAGATAACAAGGGAATGAACATGGTTTTAAGCTTGCATTGAATTGCAATAAAGTTGTTGCCTGTTTTTTTCAATAATGCTTGATGTTTTCTATGAAAATACTTACTTTTAGCTAAATCTGCCTTTTTCTTCTATATGTAACTTTGAAATAATTTTATAGAATCTGTTTCCTTTGTTGTTGAAAGAAACCAATCATAAACATATGGAAAAATAGTTTGGTATGTGTTCAGTTGTTGCGTATAGTTGTTATTTTAGATATCCAATTTTTTTTCAAGCTAATTCTATTCCAATGATACATTGCTGGATGTGTTAATAATGATTTATAAGTGATATTTTCTAATCTTTAATATCAGAGCAGTACATATATATTCTGAATTTTGTTATTGAATAGCCTTTGTGTAGTTGTTCCTGGACTACCAAATATTACTTAAGATGAGCTGTAAAAATGTTTTTCACAACTACATTTTAAAGGAAATATAAAGCAAGGCTGCACCAGGGGCAAGCAATGGAGACCCAAAAGTAAACATTTTTTTAATGATCATAATCTTTTTAAAAATCAGATTGCAGCATTCTCATGTGGTATCTCACAGAATTCAAGCTAAAGATCTTGCAAAATCTTTAAAGCAAAGGACTAAAATCTAACATTAATAATACATTACTTGAAATAATGCAAGAATTCAGATTTTCTTCAATTGTTGCATTGTATTCTTTTTAAGATTTCTATTGGCTGGCTATGAATTGCCATTAAAAATACAAGAAAAGACATAATAAACATGTAGTTTAAGAATATAATTGACATTTGTTATTACAGAATACAGAGTTGATACATGCACAATAATGCACTTAACTATGGGGTTTATTCCCAGTAATCACACCAGCTCTATTTTGTGCGATTATATATTTTATCCTATAGAAAGAAGGTTGCAGACCATGTCTCCTTTTTAGTATAATAAGCATACAAGTAATGACAACTCTCCCTAGCTATCCTCTGATGTCAGCAGTTAGGGAAAAGCATTTGGAGAAACTACTCTGTAGCGTCTTTTATCTATTAAAACCAGACAGCCAATGTGAGACAATAGTTAATGTATTAGAATAGGAATGGAAAAAATCATTTTGGCTTCACCTTCAGTCTTAAAAAATCCCTGAGTGACCTTGGGGCAGTCACTCTCTTAAAATTATAGTTGTGGGACACAATAAGAGGAGAAAAGAGTATGCTTACTGATGATTTCTGAATGAAAGACAAGATACAAATCTAATAAGCAAGCTAGTAAATCTTCATTTCTTTCACCAATTGGATTGGTAATGTTCTGTTATAAAGTAAAAAAGAATTGCTGCCACCATATAATTTGTTACTAAATTTCTCTGTGACGACACCTTATCTCAGGAATTCCATTTCCCAAGATCTGTATGGCCCCAACTCTGCTGTCTTTCAAGAGTACTTTAAAGACCTAGCTCTCCCATAGGCACTGGGTTGGGATATTATGTGAAATAGGAGTATGGTGGATTGAGAAGTTCAGTGCCTTGCCATTCAATGGCCATTGTAAAAATAATAAAGCTGGCTGATAAATAAATACATAAATAAATAATCTACTACTGAGATGGTTTAATTATTATGTTTGGCAACAATATTTTACTGTTTTTTAATTGACTATATTGTTTATTTTTAACTTGATGTAAACAGCCCAACGCTATAAGTGTAAATGGGTGACTTTGTAATTGGCATCATACATATAAATTCAAAAATATTATTAATCTATTAATAGTTATGCTGGTGAATTCCTGATGGTAAGGACATATATCTATCTATCTATCTTCCTTCCTTCCTTCCTTCCAATGAACAAATGATCTGGGCTTCTTGCTGCAAAAATCTCTGAGCAATTTCCATCACCAGTAACAAATGTTAATATATATCACCACATAGCAACAACATCCACTAATAGTGTTACTCAATAGGATTATGCTAATGGACAGCATCCCCAAATACATTTTGGAGCGGTCATGTTTCTGCAATTACTTGGAACTCCAACAGGGGTGGAGTCAATGCAGAGGTCCGGGGAATAGTTATTCAACAGAAAGGAACTCATTACTGAGAAGGCTAGACTGTGGTGTCAATGTAAATGGCACTTCCCTCAATGTTGGTTCCTTAAGCTTTTTCTCTCAGACAAATGTAGACAGATTCAATTGTGAGAAGCTATCTAGATTTGGAACTTAAAAAGGCTTTAAAATTAGCACCTGGACTTGCACCAGAAGCTAACTGGCACCCTGTGCTGCTCATATAGCAATATATTACACAGACAAGCCTAGGAATAGCAATAGCACTTAGACTTATATACAGCTTTACAGCCCTCTCTAAGCAGTTTACAGATTCAGCATATTGTCCCCAACAATTTGGGTCCTCATTTTCCCCACCTCGGAAGG